GGGGTGGGCTGAGCCCGGGCCGCCGCCGCCACCAGCCGCCGCCGCTACCACCGGGGAGAGGCCGAGAGCGGAGCCGGCGCGGGTCCCGGAAGAGAGCGCAGCCACCGGGCGCTCGGTCCCCGTCCCGGTCGAGGCCAGGGTGAGGGGCGCGGCAGGGTGGGGGGGTGGGGGAAGGGTCCCCGGGACGCCGAGAACAAAGGGAGCGGGGCGGGGGACAGGGTTTTCGCCCCGCTGCGCCGCCGGGGCTGCGCGTTCGCACCTGTTGTGCGCGGGCCGGCCGGGTCCGGGCTCCCTCTCCCCAGTCTCAGCGCCCCCACCTGCACGCACGGCCGGAGTTGGGTCCCCGCGTGCCTGTGGCGGCTTGCCCGCGAGCCCGGCTTGGGCGTAGCCGGGGGACAGAGGCGCGGGCGGGGGCTGTATCCGGGCAAGGTCAGGGGGCGGTGGCGGGAGGGGACGGCGCAGGGGCGGGAAGGCGCAGGCTCATCCTGGCGCCCCTGGCAGGCCCTTCCTCCGCAGGGCGCGTGGCGATGTGAGCCATGAGCGCGACGTGGACGCTGTCCCCCGAGCCGCTGCCGCCGTCGACGGGGCCCCCGGTGGGCGCGGGCCTGGACGCGGAGCAGCGCACGGTGTTCGCCTTCGTGCTCTGCCTGCTCGTGGTGCTGGTGCTGCTGATGGTGCGCTGCGTGCGCATCCTGCTCGACCCCTACAGCCGCATGCCCGCCTCGTCCTGGACCGACCACAAGGAGGCGCTCGAGCGTGGGCAGTTCGACTACGCGCTGGTCTGAGCCGTGCCCTGCCGCTCTCCGAGGGGCCGACTCGACGGGGGCGCCGCCTGGCAGGGAGCGCTCAGGACCTCCGCCCCAGCGCCTAGCCCGAGGGAGGAGGCCGTTAGAGGTCCGGCTCCTCCCCCTCAGACCCCTCCCATCTTTCCTCCCGGCCTGGCCGGAGCCCCACTTCGTGCCTTTATCCCGCCCCGTCCTCGCTCCGTAATTCGCAGGCTCTGCTGGCCCCCGACTGGGAAGAGGACCCCCACCCCCACCCCAAGGCGTATAGGTGGCTCTGCTAGTGTCCTGCCGCCGAGCATGAGTGTCCTGTCCATTCCTGGATGCGGGGGACCCCCGTGTCCCCCCTCCCTCCCCTGTGGTCTGGCCATCCTCACTCCGCCCCCGATCCCCCCTTAATGTTGAGCTGCTCCTGCGGGGCAGGCTCTCCTGCGCCCAGGGGGTGGACGCTGCACACCCATATGCCCTGCGCGGCCTGCCCCGGAGACCGAGCCTGGAGAGCACCAATGGCTGTTGTGTCCAGGACGCGCGGCACCTTCGGTGGGAGGAAGAGTGCGGGCAGGTTCTCCCCAGTACAGGTCAGCGCCCCTCCCTGGCCCTCCTGCCGCTTCCCCCTGCCCCCTTCCCGCATCCCCCCCGCGGCCTTCCCCATGCCTTCCCCCTCCTCCCTGCCTCTGAGCCGATGGTGTCAATAAAAGCTATTACTGAACGCTTACTACATGCCAGGCGGTGCGTGAGTTAGCGCGTGCTGCGCGTGACCTGTCCCCTCTGCAGGACCCAGAGCGAGCCCTCTTAGCATCGCTGTTCGACAGCCCGGGGGATGGAGGCCCAGGCGGCCTGAGGGACTGGCCTGTACTATACTGAGTGGCGGCATTCCAGCCTGGCTGGGATTTAAACCCAGGTCTGACTTCCACATGCTCTTAATGGCTGCCCCATGCTGCCAAAACACGCAGGCCGCATTCTGGGGGGACTGACGGGTGAACTAGCTCCCTTCCGCAACGCGCATCGCCAAGGTCCACCCACCCCCTTCTTTCCCTTAACTTGGGGAGACTGGAGGCTGTGGAATAACGGGACTAAGCGGGGCTGGGAGGGGTGGGGGGCCCCGCTCAGCCGGCCCTGGAGGGTGCCACCAAGACGTGGCATGATCTCCTGGCACTGACCACACCTGCTCCCCCAAACCTCTCTCAGCCTGGTTCCTCCTGCCCACCATTCACACGCGCACTTTGGAAGCTGGGAAACGGGCAGCACAGAGTGGGCTGGCTCTGCTCCACACCCCCCCCGCCCGGGAGCCTGTTTGTGCCCCGGGGAGCCGTGTGCAGTGTGTGGGGAAGAGCAGGCGCTTCTATAAAAGGAAGGCTGTGTGAATGCACGGGCTCTGCGAACACATCTACCAGCTCCCAAAGGACTAGTCAGGCTGGGGGGGGAGCTGTGGGAGGACACCTGGCTCCCCTGCTGTGCCCTCCCCAGCCTCTCCCTGAATCTACACCCTCAGGCAGGCTGATGAAGGGGGACCCCTTGCAGGGAGACCCCGCCACACTCCTGGGAATTCAGGGCCTTTGGCAGCAGCCAGGACCCTTCCTCTACCCAGCTCAGCTCCTCCCTCCCTGCCCCTCTTTGCTTTGCTGGGGGGTGGGGGGGGTGACTTACTCCCCTCCCTCCGACCTCCTGCCACCTGAGGCAGCCCACCCCTTACCCTTGACCTGTACCTGGGGCCTGGCTCCTCCCACCTGGCTACCCTCTGCTGGCTTCTCTTCATGTGTGTGAGGGAGGTCACCTGCGCTGAAAACCCTGCACTCAACACCTGTCAGGCTCAGGCTTCATCCTCCATGCAGTCACCGAGGGTCCCCTTCACGGCCAGACCAAGGTCACTCCAGGTGGCATTGAACCAGACCTGGCGGCGGCAGCAGCCTTTACTGATGACTGTGCCTTCCCCCCCTCACATGCCCCACGTTCAGCCCTGGGACCCCGAGCTCCGGCACTCCTACCTATGACTTCTTCTGGCACTTTGGGCCTCCACTCCCGTCTTTAACTCCCAGGAAAAAGGGAACAAGACATAATGGCAAGAACTTTACTCACAGGACATAGGATACAGGATGTTGGGACAGGCTTTGTGGGGGGAGGGGCTGGCTGCCCCCACCTCAGTTCTGTGGCCAAACCCCTGTACAACTGTGCTTCTGTTTCGGAGACCCCTACCGTGTCGATCATCTTCAAGGCCACCCCCTGCTGCCCACCATGTCAGGGACCTTCCACCGTGGCTGGGTCCTCCTGACAACCCAGGACCAGCCCAGGCAGGACTGAGGGCCAGGGGGCTCACAGATGTCTGGTGTATTTTCCCCCTACTGGGCCTTCACCTCGCAGGGCTGGCTGCCTGGCCCAGCAATTCCAGGGGCACCAGGAACGGGTTCAGGGGGCAGACCCCAGCTGCTTGCCAAGCAGACCTTGGTTCACTGGGCGGGGCATTCTCTGGAGCCAGGGGCACGGCCTGGCTGGCCTCCTCTTGCCCCGGGGAGCTTGTCCCGGCATCCTCAGCTCCGGGCGCCAGGCCCTCTGTGGCTGGGTTCGGCTGAGGGGCTGTCAGGTGCACGTACATATCCGACATGTGTTTAACCAGGGCATCGCAGGGCAGGCGGAGCAGCTCCTCGGGAAGTGCCAAGAGCAGGTCGAGGACCACCGCTGCCTCTGGTGATGGACACAGAGGGGTGGGGTGAGGGCAGGGGGGGCCTTGCTGCCCGGGGCTCGCTCCCTCCCAGCCCCTGCCCGTTACTCTCACCGGCTGCAGAAAGCTCAGGGCCATGGCACCTGCGGGAGATGGACGACAGATACTTGTAGATCTTCTCAAAGTCCACGGAGAAGTCCCCTTCCGACGACGGGTCAGCCAGGGATGCAGAAGGTGCCTCGGGGGCGGGGCCATTCGCCTTAGGGGCGGGGCCCGGGGTGTCAGGGCTCGAGTCCTCCCGCCCTCCAGGGGCGCTGAGCAGCAGTAGCTTCCCACGCGCCTGTGTGGGCTTGGGGGGCTTGGAGTGCAGGAGGCTGACGGGCTCCGTGGCCGCGATGGTGAGTACCTGGCAGGAAGAGAGATCAGGGAAGGAAAGGGGGAAGTCCTCCCATCGGCCTCTCCGCTGCCCTGCACCCAGCTGAGCCCTCCACCTCCACCTGCTCACCAAATCCCCCCTGTTAGACGTAACATACGGGAGCTGTCGGAAGCGGGGTCACTGAGGCTCAGGGTGTTCAGTGACTGGCCAGCGTCACAGAGCTGGCAAGAGGAAGGGCCCCGGAGCCAAGTCCCCCTAATTTAGACTTATACATAACACCCCCATCCTGCCTGTGGGATGGCTGTACCTGTGAGAAAGCCACAGTCAGGGCCTCCTCCAGCGGGCCCGTTATCTTCTCAGCCAGATCCATCCATACCTGGATGGGGCGACCAGAGGGCACACAGTCGGCCTAGGGACCAACTCTCGGGGGTCTCCAAGCCCTGCCCCTCCTGGGGATCCCCCTGATCAGGTTATCCCCCCCAACACCCACACCATGCCCCAGGGCCCGGCCTTGGCGGGCCTTGTCCTGCCTCACCTCGATGGGGGCCGGGGTCTGTGTTTCCCGGCGCCTCGGACCCTGCGGGCCACCGGGATGCACCCTCTGAATGGCCTCCCGGACCACGCGGCCCTTGAGCTGCCGTAGGAAATCCCGGATCTGGATAAGAGAGGAGGAGGCCGAATGGGCCTTCTACACGCCCAGGGTTGGGGAGAGAGGCCAAAGCCTACTGCCTGCTCCCGGACCGGCACTGCTCCCTAGCCTCCCGATACCCCGGTGTTACAGGTCTCAGTGACTCTGCCCCGGGGCTCGGGCCCAGGCCCCAGGTGTGACCAGCCACCCCATAAAGGTGTAAGGCCGGTTCTGCTTCCTCCCCGCAGCCAGGGCCCACCCTCTGCGAAGTACTACCCTGTTCATCGCCCCGCTTCACCCACTCGGCCCTGTTTCCTGGCTCTCACTTCAGCCTCACTGCCCTTTCCGCCCTGACCGGGGCCTCCACTCCGTCTAATTCGGAGTCCGACCGACCCCTCAGCCTCTCGCACGCGCGGCCTCCACCTCGCCCCGCCCCTCAGTCTCGTATGCCCCGCCTCTCCCCCAAGCTCGCCCCGCCCCTCAGCCTCATGTATGCCCCGTCCACACTCAGCCTCCCTTCCAAGTCCCCCGCCCCCACC